CTGCTCCCTGCTGGCAAGTGGACATCCCCCGAGGGCTCCCAGGCTGCCAGAGGGATGTCTGATTGCCAGCTTAGGCCCAATCCCACGGGTAGCGGGCCTAAGCCAGCAGGTGGTCATCCCCCGAGGGGTCCCAGACTGCAAGAGGGCACAGGCTGGGCTGAGGGACACCCACCCCCCGAGTGCACAAAATTTTTTGCACCGGGCCTCTAGTGAAAATATAACAAGGATAAAGAAGCCTCTAAAACATTATTACATTTTGACAGGATATGCTTGGCTTGGGACAAGTACCAGTACCCTTCCTTTTCATCGCATGTCCTTTGGGATTTTACCAGAACTTAAAGAAGATACAGAATAGATTTTTACTGATCTTCCCATGTCTGCCACACTATGGGCATCTGGGCACAGATACATTCAGGCTTACTCTAAACCAGCCATTATACTCTAAACTGGACATTATATAGTTCACTCCAAGTTTAGCTCCCTTCCCATGACCTTGATGTTTATCTTGATGTTGTCATGACAAGTAACAGCAGAGGAGGAGTCTACCTTTCTTGCCAACCTCGCCCAAGATTCGGAGATGTCCTCCTCAAGGTCTTTTGGGAGTATGACTGTCTCACACCACTTCTATCACTCATTGGCACTTGGGCAGACTCTGTGTTCTAATTTAACCAATTTTCCTATCTTTCCAGTGAAAGGACAAAAAAAAAATCTAAAAAATAAAAAAATTCCCTGATGAAAAAAGGGAAAGCAACTGCCTCCCCTTTCAGAGCACTTCCTTAGAAACCTTTGTCCTTGTAAATTCTTCCCGTCTCTTCGAGATGTATACAAATCTTTTTTAAAGTTCTAAACAAGCCTCTTCTGTTTTACAACCCAGGAATAGCACCCCTAGTGGGTGTGTAATTTAGCTACTTGGCCCCACCTCTTACAAAACTACCCAACTTGTCATGGAGAAGTTGGATTTTTCCTTTGGATAAAGGCAATTAGCTACCACAGATGACCACCCCAATTACCGGGGGGAATTTACAGGGAACTGTATTTGACAAATGGTTCTGCAGAGTCTTTTTACTTGAGGACTGTTGTTTCCATCTTGAGAACATGGATGTAATGTGGGGATATGTATAAAAGGGTGAGTTACTTTCTGTCTTTGCAATCTCTTAGCGGGTTGCCTGTGATGCCCATAGCAGCCTGGTTTAGTGCTCATCCAATAATAGAATTGTTTTCTTTCTCATCTGCTTAGGTGGAGAGATTTTCCGGATTGGCAGATTTTATTTTTAATTATTTCCCCAACACCAGACAGATGGCAGGCTACTTAAGGACAGTGAGGTTAGGCTATTCGATTAAATTCTACAGGCATTTGATTGGACTCCACTGATGTGCCAGACATTGCCTGGCCAGGAAAATAAAGGCAATATTGCACTCACCATGATGAAGTTCACAATTGAATATAGTGGACATAGGCTGGAAGCCTGGTAGAAAAGAGCATTGTGGTTGGGGACCTCCCTTAGCAGGTAGGCTCTACCAGCCACAAGCTGTGTGGCTCAACAAATTGCAGCTACTGTATTTTCATTTAACTCTCATCAGCAATACTGGTGTATGGTATAGCCCATATAAAAATATGCGAACATAAACTTAGATACTGGAAACTAAAATAATTTTCTTGCTATTACTACAAATGAACTTAATTTAGTCCATAAGCCCTCCATTTGCACTGATAGCAGAAAACTGAATCTTGCTAGATCCCATTCCGTCCTGTAAAACTCAGTTACATTGGAATAAATGCTCCTTTTCTTTCTAGGGCTGATTTAAAGTCAAGGATGTGATTCTCATCAGCACCTGGTCTGCTGTGGCCATGTGGCCTTTCCTCTGTCACACTTCAGGGGAAGCCATGGCGCTTGTTTTGGGGACTCTGGGCTTTCTCGCTGCTGAATTAGTCACTACCTCAGCTCCTACAGCCCCTGCTAAGATCTCTGATTCTTAGTGACACTTCGTGTTAGTTTTAGTTTCCTCAGGCTCCTCTAACAAATTGCACAAGCTTGGTGGCCTGAAACAACATATTCTTTGACAGTTCTGGAGGCCAGAAGTCCAAAATCGAGTTGTCAGCTGGACGTGCTCCCTGGAAAGGCTGCAGGGGAGGGTCCTTCTTGGCCTCTTCCAGCTTCTAGTGGCTCCAGGTGTCCTTGGCTTGTGGCTGCATCACTCCAATCTCTGCCCCTGTCTTAATGTGGCCTTCTCTTTCTCCCTATATCTTGTGCTTACCTGGTATATATCTCTTATAAGGACACTTGTCATTGGATTTAGGGCCCACCAGATAATCTAGGATGATGTCATCATAAGACATTTAATTTAATTACATCTGTAAAGACCCTTTTTCCAAATGAGGT